GGAAGTGGACACTTTAGCATTCACTGATGGGTTTAGAGGGTACAAAGGAAAGAGGAATTAAATATGGCTCCTTGGCTTTTGTCTCCAGCAGCTAGGCAGACGGTGGTGCCACTGAACTTAGGAAGACTGAGAATGTAACAGGAAATTTGGACAGAGGGAATCAAGAGCTTGAAAGGTGTTAGGCTTGAGATGTCTGTTAGACTTTCAGACAGAGGAGCAAGTAGGCAGCCGGATATGTGAGTGTAGAACTTCAGGTGGGACCGACATAATCTGATTCATCAGTCTACAGGTAGCATTTAATGGTGCAGGGCTCTATGAGTTCATTCAGAGAGTGTCGAGGACCAAACCCGAGACTCTTCCTTACAGAGGTTAGATACAGGAGAGAGAGGCAGTAAAGCAAACTGAGGAGTATCTTAGTTGTTTTGTTTTTTGCTGCCATCACAGAGTACTACAGACTGAGTAATTTGTAACAGAAAGGAATTTATTTCTAACAGTGCAGGAGCCTGGGAAGCCTCATATTAAGGTACGAGCTTCTGGTGAGGGCCTTCTTTCTGTGTCATAATATGGTGGAGGGCGAAACAGATATTTTTCCTTTTTTTGATACCAGGGATTGAACCCAGGGGTGCTTAATCTTTGAGCCACATCTCCAGCCCTTTTATATATTTTATTTAGAGACAGGGTCTCACTGAGTTGCTTAAGGCCTCGCTAAATTGCTGAGGCTGGCTTTGAACTTTCGATCCTCCTGCCTCAGCCTCCCAAACTGCTGGATTACAGGCGTGCTCCACCATGCCTGGCTCCTCCTCTTCTTATAAAGAAATAATCCCATCATAACCCCATAACCTCCTCTAACCCTAAAGACCCCAAAGGTGCTGTCTCCATAAACCATTAACTTATGCATTTGGAGTTCAATGTGTGAACTTTGGGGCATGCAGTCAACCCATAGCAAATGATCATAGAGGTACCCAGTGCTGTGTGGCGTGTGCTAGGAGTGTATTCACACAGACTTACAGTAATGGGCCTGATTTCCTCTGGAGCATAAGCTAGTTTATTAAGTGATAAGCACTGTTTCTTTGCAGATATCTAATCAGTAGGTACTTTTGTTACTTTGACTTATTTTTCTAATTTAATTAATGTAAATAAATGAATGATAATTGCTTTTATTTGCACATGTAAAATAAGTATTATTTTTATTGATTTCTTGTTTTGTGAACATTCTGTTAGTCTCGTTGAGACTGGGTTATTGTTTTTTTTTAATATTTATTTTTTAGTTATAGGTGGACACAATGTCTTTATTTTGTATTTATGTGGTGCTGAGGATCGAACCCAGTGCCCCACGCATGCTAGGCGAGCCCTCCACCTCTGAGCCACAATCCCAGCCTCGAGATTGGTTACTGTTAATGTTCATCATTCACTTTTATTTCTATTTTAGTTGACTGTTTTCTTTCACTTGGGATTATTTTCACTACAAATAACAGAAAACTTGAAGGGGTAATAAGGGGTTACTTTTGCTTATCAAACAGGATGTCTGAAGGTATAATCTACAATATCATAATTCCATCAAAGATCTAGACTTTCTCTGTTTTTCCACTCCACTGTCTTCAGCATGTAACTTTCTTCATGAGGTTTGCATGGTGGCTGCCAAACCTCTGGACATCACGTCTGTGTTCCAGCGGGGAGGACATTGTACAAAAAGATGTGCTAGTTAAGTCTATTCCTTTTCACCAGGAAATGAATAGCTTTTCTCGGAGTCAATCCAGTAGAAGCCTGTTTATATCTCACTGACCAGACCTACACCAAACAGCATGCCAGGGTGTAAGGGAAATTGGGAAGGTGAACATTAAAAAAAAAAAAAATCATATAGCATTCATTTAATCACATTTATTTAATTATTTTTATTTTTGCCATATTAGAAGTTGAACCCAGGGCCTCATGAATGCTAGGCAAGTACTCTACCACGGAGCTACATCCTTAGCCTTAATCATATTTAAACATTGACCAGGATCACACCCAAGTCATCCCTATAAACCACATAGTAACCTCCCTTTAAAAATATTTTTGGTCTTTAAGTTTTTAAAATGCTATTCTTTGTATAACATTTTAATTTTAATTCATATACTAAATTTTACTATTTTTATTGTACAGTTTTGAATTTTATAAAGAAACATAGAAAAAGGTGGCTGTTTTTAACTGTGATTGCTGCTGTTCTCCTCCATATTGCTTGAGAATCCTATAATGGTGAGGGATGATTATTTAACACAATAGGGGAGCCTGAGAAAGGAGAGAATTTTCTCCCTGTCCATTGCACCTAAGGGAGGCTTTGTGAGATGATATGGAATAAAGTTATAGAAAGATCCCTTTGAGTCCAGGGGCAGTTTGCATCTCGTGGCCATAATCGCTAGATTTCTTCCCGGATTAAGACCCATCCCTTCTGGGCCTTTCCTCCTGGGCACTGATGAGGCTTGGGTCCCAGCAGTGATGGTGGTAGTGGCTTTAATGAAACACTTGGTTTTGTTATTTTCATGGGTGGGAGGACCAAAATGGAGGGACAGATGGGCCAGCAGGCAGCCGTTACGTATACATTTTCATTAATTATTCCCATTTCCAGTATGTCTGAGTGATAGATGATATGATAATGAATAGGTAATTCAAGTACTTGAATCATCAGTATCAAATGGACCATATTAATGAAAGGCTTGGCATGCTTCCACAATAAGAATAAATGATAATATCATTTCTAGCATTTATTGAATACCTAACACCAAATGCTTACCATACATTATCTCATTTAATCTTCACAACCACCTTGTGACCTGCCCTGAGGAATCATCTCTGGATTAGAGATAGGTGATTTGGGCTTAACACTCCATGGTTGGTTTTACGTAGGATGTGTTGAAACATAATTCACATTTGTAGACTTGCTTAATTTTCATCTGTATTATCTGTTGTCAAAACAAAACAACAAAACCCCACCCTTAAATAGCTAAATCAATATTTGCTTTTAAATTTGCAAGATGTTAGTCATTTTTTTTAACATACCCTACCCTTCCTTGTATGTGTGTATGTGTATTTGATTGCAGTGTGTTGTTTGTACGAGACAAGCGCTCTATCACCAGGCTACAGCCAGCCACCCCCTTTAAAAAAAAATTGAGCTTATTTGGATCTAACTTTAAAAACCAAGATACACAATAAAAGTATGAAAATAATACTGATACATTCTACTAAGACATCACTCTAGTGTCTCTTCCACACTTTGGTTTTGTGTATATAATTTTCATATTAAATTAACTCATCTAAATTTTTTTCAGAAACATTATTTCACATAGATATTTCTATATAACTGTCACTAAAAGGAGTTCTATAGCTTGGATATTTTCACCCATTCTGGGTTTCAGTTTTTTTATTCCATAAAATGAGGCAGTTGGGCTATTAAATGATATCCCCAAATTTTCTACTTCTAATAGTCTGTGACAGTATCTACTATTGACAAGGGGAATAATAGAAACACAGCACAAATACACAGAAGTCTTCTCCTTTGGAGGACAAGTTTACTCCAAAACATGGAAGCTGCTTAATGGGCCATAACTTTCCTGTTGTTCATGAGTCAGCATGAAAAATGCCTCCAGAGAAGGCTAAGTAGGTCAGATTTATCTAAGAAGACAGCTGTGTAATCCTGTATCCCTCTGCAACCCCATGGCCCTGCAGATACATGCTTCTGGCTTTGTGAACAACAGTCAAATAGCATTACCCACTTTGTAAAGTTCGTGAGACCACAACTTGAAAAACTCAGGCTGGCCTTGAAAACCTTCAGTAGAGGAATAAATGAGAGATTTCGATACAGTCCGCAGCAATGTTACTCTTTTTTTCTCTGATACTGTGATACACATTAGTATGGGAAAGACTGTATCAGTAAATTTTAGTAAAATAATTGAAAAATCGGGAAAAATGTTTTGCATCATGACTTTTTATTGAAAAGTGTAATAAAATGTTAGGCTGCCAATGTTTGATTGCTTCCCCTTCTTAGTATGGTCATAAGACTTAAAAATTACATTTAGTAAATAAGAAGACTTATAAGAGAACTTGCATTTGGAAACAAACTTGAAGGTGCAGTTACTACCTCCTTTGGCTGTGCAAGTATTCTTTTTCTCCTTCCTTCTTTTTTACAGTGCTGGTGATCAAACCCAGGGCCTCACACATGCTGGGCAAGCACTGGACCAACATTTCACCCCCACCCCAGTGCAAATATTCTTGTCATTAGAGGGCCCTTTAATACAGTGGGGAGCCTTCAGAGTTAAAGGGCAAATACAAACCTGCAGAAGTGAAATGATAAAGGAAAAACAAAACTAACAAACAAAAACACATATACTGGAATGGGACCAGAGAGCCTTACTAAGAAAGATGTCAGCAGAGAATGTAGAAAAAAGGTTAGGTATACTTGGAGGTGTTCAAGTTAGATAATTCAAAGTGACTTTTTTTTTTTCACATGGGCAATTTGTATTTATGCTCATCTCCTCAAATATTAAGTTTGTTTGGAGTTACATCCAGAAAAGGTGTTAGCCAGGGTACACAGTACTGTATCTTGGAAAGAGGATCTATAATTCATTTTGTTCTCCACAGTCTGTCCTGCTATGTGACCACCAGTTTTCCAAAGTCTAGACTGTAAGGCACCAGAAGCAATTAAATAGAGGATCAATGCAAGCAGACAGGTGTGCCCCATCACTTCCCCTCTTTAAACCATAGAGCTCATATTCTCTGAATTTCATATAAGCTACCCTGGAAACAGCAAATTAACTCCAAAGACATTCCATGTTATGCAAATCCATTTCTTAATAGGCCCTTGTTTGTGACATCACTGGCATAGATGCGATATTAAAAGATCTCAGATGTTAGACCTTTTGATCATAGACATACTAAAGCAGGACTAGAAAATGTATTTCCAAGTTTACTTATATTATCCTGTTAATGTTAGAAACAGGCAAGCTATGAAGTCGTCAACCTCAACCATGATTCTGAAGAGGATGAAAGAATTTTGCAATCTTGATTCCCAAAGGGGATCTCTGCAGGGTCTTCGAAGCTCAAACTTGCCCACCTGTCACAACCTGGACAGTCTCCACGGACTGTGCCAGGCGCGCCACCGCCACGCGGCGCTGAGGTCGGTCTCTCGGGTCTTGGGAGAGCTCTTTTTATTCTAAATTACAGACTTTGCAGCCACCGGATATCCTCGCTGCATAACTGGCAGTAGCCATGTGGCTGCACTCGCGTTTCCTGACAACCACTGCATTATTTCCACTAATATCCTGTGTAGGGCGTCTCTCGCCGGGCGACTTCTCATTCCCACCGCCGCCGTCGCCGCCGCCGCCCCCTGCCCCGTGGGTACTCTCCCGACTGCTGCCCGTGTGCCGCCAACAAAGGGGAAACCACCCGAAAGTTCATGAGAACGTCCTGGGCCAAAGCGGGCCGGCGAGCCCTCCCGACAGACAGCTCCGAGCACCGGGCCTCCGCGGACCGGGCGCTGCGGGCCTGCCTGCGGCCACGTGCTGCGCGCCGGGGCGGGGCGCCCGCGGCCGCCGCGTGCGTTCGCATTGTCCACGTCCCCCCGCGCCCCGCCGCGTTCCGTCCCCCCCTATCTCTGGCGCACACGCGCTCGGAGCGAGCGGCTCGCCCCGAGCTGGAGCTGCGGCGGCGGCGGCGGCGGCG